GTTTAAATCCGCCCCGTTTACCGTTTTTTTCGGGCTGGAAGGCCGCCCGTTGTTTTTTGGGAGGAAAATAAGAAAAAAAAAAATTCTGCCTCTGCCTGCCAGCATCCATGGTATTCATCTGGCTTGTCAGCGTCCTGTCAGTGTGTGAGAGAGTTGAGGGCTGTTTGGAAACAAACTGTATTTGTTAGAACAAGTGGTTAAGATAGCAGGCATGAAAGCCAGCTGGGTGACTTTGGGCCAATCACCAGGAGACTGAGTTATAATCCCCTCTTAACCATGAATGTCAGTAGGTGACTTCTGGCCAGTCACACTCTCTTTCAGCCCAACTCACCTCCTAGGGTGGTGGTTGTGGAGAAAATAAGGATTAAAAAAAATGTAATTTTAAAAAAATCTAAATGCGTTACAGTGTTTTTGGGAGTATAAGACGCACCAAGATTTTGCAGAGGCAATTTTTTTTAAAAAAGCTTTTGGACTCTGCAGATCTCCCAAAAATGACGTGTTTCACGAAAACGGGCCCATTTCCCCCTCCCCCAAAATGGGCATGAATAGCCTTTAGGAGGCTTGTAGAGTGCTCCTGGAGGCGGGGGGGGGGAATTTGAGCAAAAATCGGCCCGTTTTTTGCTCATTTCTGCCCTCCCCAGCCCCCAGGAGCACCCTGGAAGCCTCCTAAAGGCAATTCACAGCCATTTTGGTGAAGGGGCTGGGGTTTGGGGAGGCACAAAATGCTGTATTCAGTGTATAATACACACCCAGATTTTCAGCCTCTTTTTTGAGGGGAAAAAGGTCCGTCTTATACGGCGAAAAATACGGCAGTTAAATATCTTCTCCTCTTTCTACTGCCTAAGTAATCAGGGTTTAAAAACGCAGATGCTATAAAGCCGGCTAAATTGATGCTAGGGGAAAAGAACCGTTCCTTACTTCTGTGGTCTCGTGGTCATCTGCACTAAATGGAAAGAGCGCCTTATAAAGCCGAACAAAAGCCTCCAAGCCGTCATCGGTTATCAAGCCCTCGGTCCGGGAATCCAAAGGCTCCGTCTCGGTGAAGTCCAGTTCCCACACAGTGTCAACCCAGGCTGAAAGGAGGAAATGTGGAAATGTTTAAAATACAGCAAGCAGGTAGGCTCCCATCGATAATAAAATGAAAAGACTGCCAAGGCCATGCTATTTAATATTTTCTGTGCAGTACTTATGGTTTTAATTGTAAGGGAGATGAGCAGCCAATGAATAGGATAGCATTGGGAGGATAGGATAGGGTAGGATAAGTGGAATGGAATGGAATGGAATAGAATAGGACAAGGAATGGAATGGAATGGAATGGAATAGAATAGGACAGGACAGAACAGGAAAAGGAATGGAATAGTGTAGGGTTGTTACAGTAAATCATCTGGATGGTTCTTAGAACTGTGGTGACACGTGTTTGCAAACTGTCAGCAATTCTTTGCTGTTTCCGTGTTCCCAGGCATGAACAAGGACACGGGATGATACAAAGTATAACCTGTAACATTTACTCATTTGAATGTATAACATTTGATTCACTTAGTGTGTGAGAACATGCACATTCTCACGAACACCAATGATGTAATGACCAACCAATTATTGTAATAACACGTAAAGTAGGTGAGGACTAAGAAACTAAGAAGCTATAAAAATGATGTCTGATGATTAATAAGTTGCTGTTGATTCTGCTATCCATGGAATGCTTAATGCTGTTGATTCTTTTGTTGATTCTGGATGCTCAATACACTTCTGTTGGTTCAACTATCCGTGGATTGGTTTACTTTTATTCACCTTCAGCCTCAGGACCCTAATGCAACAGAATAGGACAGGACAGGACAAGGAATGGAATGAAATGAAATAGAATAGGACAATGAATGGAATGGAATGGTATAGTAGAGTAGAGTTTAGAAAAGAAAAGAATAGAACAGAACATGAATGGAGTGGAGTGGACTAGAACAGAATAAGAATACAGAACAAAATAAAATGAAATGAAAATAAAATACTTACTACCCTTCCTTTTTTTTTTTTGAACTAAAAATATAACCTTACAGCTGAGCCTTTGTTTCTTCCAAGACATTTGGCCCGTGATGTCTAAAGAGGATTTAATTGTTTACACATTTTTCTTTTGCTGCTTGCATTTTGCTTTGGTAGCTATGATATAATCTGCTTTGTTATAATTAGAAGAGGTATATATAAAAATTTTAAAATAATAAACAGTAACGCTTGTTTTTAAAAACAAAGCAAAAAAAAAAAAACCCAATCCCCTCTCCTCTAAATGAGATTAAATTTGTGACTCACTAGTAATTCAGAGGGGGGGAAATTACCACCCTTCTCTATGTCATTATCTTTTTAAACGTCTATGGAATTGCAAGAAGAAAAAAGGCTGGAGCATAAATTAGAATGTCTTATTAAAACTAATGATCATATAGCCCCTTTTGCAATTCCAGGGTAAATATTGAAACAGGTCTCTAGTTATAAATTGCCAGCACCAAGAAAAACAATCCTCTTCTTTTAAGATGCAATTCAATCAACCAAGCAGGATATTGCATGAAATGGATTCAGGAGGCAATTGTAACTTAGCTTTCTCCATCATTTTAAGGTGTGGGTAAATCATGAGGATTTAAAAGAACACCAAACAGAATTTAAATTTTGCCAAATCTGTCATACTTTTGCTCCAGGCATAAAAAAATAATTGGTAATTTCAGAGAACCTCATAATTCATGCTTTGTTCAGTAAGACTAACTCTTGTGTGTATGTATGTACATGGCTTCAAAATCCAAGGGATTGGGTTTGGACAAAACTCAACAGCACTTTTCCGTGTGGCTGTTGATAAAAATAAGATCGCCAACATGATTGCCAATGTCCGATGACGGATTTGGCACAAGAAGGATACATACATACATACATACATACATACATACATACATACATAGATAGATAGATAGATAGATAGATAGATAGATAGATAGATGATAGATAGA